AAACAGTCTATCCTGGCTTGAGAACATGTAAAGTACCTATTATTATAGAATCACATGAGAAAATACATTGCAAACGGTTGAACAGAAGTGAGCTCAGAAGGAAAGCATAATTAAACTCTCATAAATGATGTTGCCAGAAACTAGTGGCCATTAGAGGAATTGCATCTTCAGGCTTCTGCCATGCAGCCTCATGTATTTTTTTTACCATTGTCTAAGACACTAATTTAATGATTTGAGAGGCGGGCCTTGTGTTGTGGCTGTTGCAGATTCCTTCTTAGAGATACATGATTCTAAGTAAGTAGTTTTCACTCGTTTAAATGTTGGTATCAACTTTACCACAGGTATCATGGTTTATGTTAAGCTAAAGTTCAGTTCTCTTTTGTTAGTTGCCTAGCAACATAGACAAAAGCAAAGTGTATCAATGATGGGGGCGTTTTCAAAGGTCTGCTCTTTTCAATCTCCGCCTTTCGCTTTTTCTGATCAGAGCCTTAGAAAGACCACCGTAGTAGCTTTGTGAACTGCAAAAATGTATGAATCTCATTTTTCTTTCATTATTAGTCTTTCATTTGGGCAGATAATACGTTATGAAAATCCTTGTATAAAGTATTCGTATCCTGACAGTTTCTGTAATTATCCCAGATGACTGACAAACACATCAAAACATAAGCAGCAGGGTCCAGCTCTTTCTCACTGTGTCTCTGACTTTGAAAACTTATTTTCATGTCTTGCTGTTAAGCCATCTGCCATCCAGCCTGTGAGGCATCTAAGGTTAGTTAGGCATCTACTACCTCAACCCCATCTCTTTTTGTGAGTTTTTCCTCTTCCTTTTCCTATCCCTACCTCTCTGCTCTATTACTCTAAATAATACATCAAGGACACACAACACTTGTAAACATCAAACCACCCTACCTGCCCCACACATTCTTTACCTCACACTAGGGCTGAACGTTAGTGCCCCCTATGGCTGGTACAGAAAAACACCAGCAAGCTCTGTGCACGTCCTTCACCTCCTCTCTCTGTTCTTTTACTCATGAGTGCCTGTCAGAGTGTTCTTGCAGAAGACAGAAGCTCTGAGCTTCAGCCAGAAAGTCATTGCATGAATACCACATCAGCCATATAGGGGAAAAGTCCCTTTTTAAGCTGCACTAAATCACTTCCTGTCATCTTAAAACCCTGGCATTACTTGAGTTATCTCAAACACTTCATTTTCTCTACAAATAAAGATCATCCTTATATTCTTTCTCAAAGAATATCAGATATTTTATTGTATTAACATGCGTTTGCCAAATCACATTTGTTTGAGTGTGTCTCTCAGAATACTTGCAAAAATGTCTGCACACAAAATGAAATTGTAGACTGCTAGGTGCCTGATACAGTACAACCTGTTCTGTAATAAGAACTGGAGCACTGCTTCCTTCAAAAACCAACAGATTGGGAATAAAACGCTGAGTAAGACTGGAGCGAAACATTTTGAATGTTTTCTGGGTCCTTCACAACTAAAAATAAAATTGTTCTATTCTGGCTTATTAAATGATTAGCTCCCACAAACATATAAAATGACGACAAATTCAAAGATATTGGAAACATTTTTCAGCATTATTTAAACTTATGTGTGTAACCATGGAGGCTGCATGCAACTTTAATGCAATCACATTCAATATAAACAACGGAAGCATTGACCATTATATTGAATTCCCTGCTACACCTTTGCTAGTTCCAAATACAAGTTATCGGTATAAAGGGAAACATTTTATCCATAGGTTATTCAAAGTCCTCAGAGACCTCGGGGGTTCCCAGTACTCTGAGGGCAAACACTAAAGTGCAAAGGAGAGTTTGTTTAGATATCATTCATGTGTTTCCACTAGAGGTATAAAGTATGTTTCCAGACACAATGTTTTTAGAGATACCTATAAGCTTCCACCCATATTCCCTTGGGTCCACCAAAAAAACACAGACAATGTAAACAGACAAATCCAAATATGAAGGAAATGTGAAATGACTACAATAAAGTAATTGGTCCTATTTACTGATAATGAGTTGTCTGTCTTTGCCCTTTGTCCAAGGCCAGTTCTACAAATGCTCATGTCACATGTATACCCTCCACAAACAGTATAGATTCATATAAATGCATTATTCATATCTAGGTGGGGTGACAATATAAGAGAATCTCCAAGGAAAAGTTGAGACGAGATTTGAGCTCAGGTCAGCAGGGGACTTCAGAAGAAGTGTATTTAATGAGTCCTCTGTGGTTCCTTTGGAGCCTTTAGTCAGCCCCAATAAACAAATAACACCTTAACCAATTCCCACTGCAACTCTGTTATTTATTTTATTTGTTCACTGAGTGTATGTTCTCTTTTCCAGACAGTTACGCATGCTGTAGTCTCCTGTGTTTTACTAACAAGTTCAAATCTGTGCTTGGCAGTGTTGCCCATTCAGCTCCATGCCGCTCGAACCACACACAGCTCAGAAGAATTAAATGAATATTTGCTGCTCTTCATTTAATATGCTTTTTAAACAAATCTAAAGTGTTTAATATTAATCACATTTCAATGGATGTCTCTTTCTAATTCAGTATTGTCGAACAAGACGATTTATCTGGTGTGTTAACAGGAGACACACACACTAAGTGTTTGTGTCCACGTTGAGTGGTTCAATAATCTGAGGCCAATTACCTGTAATTAAGTATACTTACATTACACCTGTTGACACGTATCCTAAGGAACTGAATGTGTTGTAATGTTACATTTGAACACATTTACACTGAACTTCTCTGCTATAATGGGTTGAGTATGTAAGTAATGTACATGTACATGTAATGTAATGTTTGATAAATGCAATTTCATACTAAACGCCATGGATTTTTTTAAATGCTTTTTGTTTGTTGCATTTTCAGTAATATCAATTTGAAGTTCAATTTGAAGCTTTTTCACCATCCTAAAAAACTGAACACTGCAAAAGAACACTGTGTTGCAGAACATTAGTCTCAGTTTGAACAAGATGAGCTGAAGGACTCAAATGACTTAATCTGATGCAAGAAAATGAACCCAGCACATACTCCTGAAGAGTCCTGAGATGTCTGCTTGACTAGGCATCACACAGACACAATACAGCCAGAATGAACCTTGTGTAAGACTTTGACGCACACACACACACACACACAAAATTGTTAATTATCCGGGATTTAGCTTACTGTGTCAGTCTTTTTGGGGTTTTCCCTTTCCTGTAGTGAGTGACATGGGTTTTAGCACGTAGATGGACTGCACTTTTTGAACATAAAAGCAGGTAAATATGTCACACTAGAGGCACAAAATACAAAAATAAAAAATTCAAATATGAAATAGAAAATGAGCATTATATATTGTCTTTAAAGAGCAAGTTGTAGGTTTTTTTTTTTATACTACATTTATGCTTAACCTTGCCTGAAAATTACAATTAAAAATGTTAATGCAGGATTTGATATGTTTTACAAGACATAAGGGCAGGAATTCAGAGAAAAAGGAGCCGTTTTGAGCTCTGCTACTAAAAACTGCTTTTTTTTAACGTCATACGTCAAACGCGTCATATTACGTCACATGGGGGAGTTAACTTTCTCGGACTCGTTCTCTGCCCAATCCGCGGTAGTAGTTTGTAGTTGGTTTGAGCGGTTGTTTTTTAGTGAGCTGGTATTTTTTCGGTAATTTTACATTGCATTTCACCATTTGTAATCATGGTGAGCTTGTGTTTGTGCAGGTTGCACAAACTCAAGCCTGTCAGGACATCGAGTCCACAGTTTCCCTCACGGGGAAAGGACCGGAGCTAGCGTTCGTTCCTGGGTGCGTTGTGCATCCACCTCCCTGCAGCACATACTCCGTCTCCACAGCTTTATCAGGAAACCGTATTACTTCTCTCTCCCCCCCTTCGCTGCTCTCTCTCCCCCCTCCGGTACACGGCACCGTAAGACGTAGTGTGGAGTTGCATTAGGTAACGCTGTGGTGGCTGTACTGCTCCAGCCGTCTCCTTTGTGTTTGTTTGTTTCCCCCTGTCTGTGTTGTTTGCTGTTTGCGTGGTGGCTGTCCCTCCTGGCTCCCGGCTCAACCTCCACTCACCTGCTGCAATCAGCTGTGCACCCTCCCCGACTACACACCTGCTTTCCATCAAGCCATTTACAACGTGTATCAACGGAGGCTCCACAACCTTTCTCCGCCAGATCGTCAAGTATCAGCCGTATCTCGCGTCTCCCCTCCGGTACACAGCACCGTAGTGTGGAGTTACATTAGGTAACGTGAGATACGGCTGATACTTGCGCATTAGTTTCTGTTAAGGATCAGTATCAACAGTCCTGTCAGTAACGTTACTATATTATCAATACTACTTTAGTTATAGCCTGATATATGATTGCTAACTTTACAATGTTGTGATGTGACTGACGTTAGCTAACATNGTGTGTGTGTGTGTGTGTGTGTGTGTGTGTGTGTGTGTGTGTGTGTGTGTCTGTCTGTCCTGGTATTGTGTCCGGGTCAGATTGACCCCGAACCTCTTATGAAGGACATACACTGAACAAAAATATAAACGCAACACTTTTGTTTTTTCTCCCATTTTTGTGGCCCATGGTGGTGGTGGGGTTATGGTATGGGCAGGCGTATGTTATGGACGAACACAGGCCACTCGATTCACAACATTACCCTAACCCTAGCCCTAACCCTAACCCTAACCCTCACACCAGATACTGACTGGTTTTCGGACCCCCCCAGACCCCCCCAATAAAGCAAAAATGCACTGCTGTATTTCCAATCACATTTTGGCTCACATATATATTGAACCAAATAGTGAAATTAAACTATTCCCTTGGGGGTCCTGGAGTGAGTTTCAAAGGGTCTGTTCAGAACATCTATTCTTTTGACGTTTCCTCTCTGCATATTTGAACAACTCTGGGATTTGTATCAATATCTCATTTAACATCAGTGTAATCTACCTTGTTGTTAAAAGTCTGATTTGACTGAATTATGTTTTTGGTCTTCCAGAGAAATCCACAGACCCCTCCTCTCCTCGGTCCACGTTCCACACGTTCCCTGACCCTGCAGATGTTGAGCGGCTGCGCTCTCAGCTGCTCTGCTGGTACGACCAGGAGCAGAGAGAGCTGCCCTGGAGGACTCTGGTAAAGAGACACCTTCTTTCACTGGTGGACAAGAAATGTAGTATTTTAGTTCACAAAGTTCATGTATATGGTTATTGTTGTATCATTAAGACCCTGGGAAGAGCTGTGGTCAGTTTGGTTCAGACATGTGTTTACTTAACGTCCATGAAAGCTGCTTTTTTTATTTTCACCATATTGCTTTTATCATTGAGGTTACTTGATTGTGTATTTCTTGTCTCCGTTTTTATCTTAAACTTAAATCAATATGCAAAATACTCCAAATACCATCTGTTAAATGTCCTCAATTCAAAAGCATTATTTGACTTTTTCACTTGAATTATTATTATAAAATGTTGTGAGATTTTTAAATGTCCTTTTCTGTTATGCCATGGCTTTATACAATTATTCATTCAATATAATATTCTACGAATCCCAAATATTGCAAAAACGATCCTTATATCAAGCTACAGTACCCAGCCTTTGCACATGTAAAACAAATCTGACTTATTTAACTGACTCCCTTCTTGTTTGTCTCCAACAGGCAGTGACGGAGTCAGACCTCAACATCAGGACATATGCAGGTAACAAGAGGATTCCTGTCAAAATGACACATCTTACACTGCTGCTGACACGGGTTATAAATCAGATTTGTCTCTTTCTTTTCAGTGTGGGTTTCAGAAATCATGCTGCAACAGACCCAAGTTGCTACAGTAATAAACTACTACAACAAATGGATGAAGGTAGGCGTCTTCAAGCTGTTTATGACATTAGAGTCCTAGTGATATATTTACCCTGTGCCTCACTGGGGACAAGTGTGGCATGTTTTTTTAATCTTTTCCTTGTTTCCACTAGCGTTATCGCTGCTTTATCATGTGTATATTCAAATATGGTTGCATTCTTGTCGTATGCTAGACTGAACAAATAATCCCAATTAGGAAGAGCATTTTTCACTCTTCTTAAGTAGGAATCAATATTGTTGCTAACCAGTGACACAAGATCAACTTTTGAAGTGAAGCACACATGTTATATGTATTACTGTGATGTACATTGCATGCATTATTTGTAATTTTACCTCTTGCTTTGATTGTGTTCCAGCGGTGGCCCACGGTGCAGGATCTTGCAACTGCTACTCTAGAGGTGATTACTAAAGCAGTCCCTGAAACTGAAGGGATTTTTGAAATGTCTTGATTTGAATTGAAATGTAATAATTTCCTTTTATTTGTAGGAAGTGAACCAGATGTGGGCGGGTCTTGGCTACTACTCCAGAGGAAGACGGCTGCATGAAGGAGCTCAAAAGGTCTGTGTTGTGTTTTTTATATCAAACATTTCTGTGACAAGTCTCAGCATCATAGTCTAAAACAGGGGTGTCCAAACTCTGGCCCGGGGGCCAAATGCAGCCCGCGGACCATTTTGAATTGGCCCTCAGCAAATTCTGAAAGTATAATGGAGTATGGCCCACAAATGAAACTTGTGCTTGTCTTGTATTTTACTTGTTTAAGATATATGTAAACAAATATTACAAAGTATTCATGTGTTAATAAGCCAACTTTTAGAATAAATTCAGTCAATTAAGTTTGAAAACATTTTCTAAAAGATCTTAGTTGATGAGAAAAAAGACCCAACAACTTATTTACCTAACAAGCTTGAAATAGACCCTTCCTATTTCCCCTTATTATAAGCAATCTGAGGCTTCTGTTTTAAGGGATGAGCTGCTAACAAAATAAATGAAACCCTATGGAGAGCTGGGATCTAGGCTGTTTTTTCTTAAAGCAGATTAAAGTATCAAGCATAATTTACTTACATTTGATTGATTTTGCTAAGTTATAATTTAACTTACGAGGCAATACACCTCACCTCTAGTGAGCGGCCCAGATCTTCTTATATTTTTCTGTGTGCCCTTCGGTGAAAAAAGTTTGGACACCCCTGGTCTAAAACATTCTGCATTCAGTCTAAACTTAGTGTAAATATTTATAAATAGGCATACTCTTAAAGTTGCAGGTCATAATTACTCTGTATGAAATATTGAATGTTGTTCATTGTCTCTCCTTGTTGTTAGGTGGTGTCAGAGCTGAAGGGCCAGATGCCTCGCACCGTGGACAGTCTGCTGAAGCAGCTTCCTGGAGTGGGGCGCTACACCGCTGCAGCCGTGGGCTCGATAGCACTGGGTCAGGTGTGCTTCAGACACGCCTACTTTTTCCTATTTATTGTAATAGTTTACAACTGTGTCACCTTGAGTCTGTTAGAGCATGATTTCTGAAATCCACACTTAAAAAAGGGTAGAAAACGGTCTTAAAGTCTTTCACCAGATGTGTAATTTCCTCACAAATGATCTTAACTGCATTCCTGATGTTGAGATCTGACTCTAAAAAACAGTCAGTAAAGTCAGGATGGTTTTTCCTGGAAAAACAGGAGAGACTTTAAATCTTAAAACATTGTATTATTATATTCCAACCTAAAAAGTCAAATACTGTTGGATGTAATTGGTTAGGAAGTAGAAAAAATAGTATTTTGAAAGTGTTGCCTAGCCCTAGTATAGTTACCTGTGGCTATGTGATTCCTGTTTTTGGTTGTTTTGATTTTAGGATATATAGAGAAACAAAACAAGAAATTCAAAACTCTAATGAAACCATGAAATAAGGTAGTCCAAAGCAAACTTTTAATTGTGTTACTGCCTCGTTTATCACTGATGACTGAAAATATCTCTGTTGCCTAGGTAACCGGAGCAGTGGATGGCAACTTGATTCGGGTGCTGTGTCGCCTGCGGGCCGTCGGCGCTGACAGCACCAGTTCTGCAGTGACAGAGGCTCTCTGGTGAGTGTGATGGAAACTTCTGAAGCAATGGAGACTCAGAGAGACACGGGGAGAGCAGGAACTCTGATGGCAAACACTGACGGTTTATTTGGAGCTTCGGCCGGAGAATTCACAAAACATGTCCTGCAGCCACGAGGTGTCATAGCGGTTGCCAAACCAATTCTGAAGATCTCTCGGAGAATAATCAACATTGTGCATAACAAGATAAAGCACTATAACCTCTATCAGCTAACGCCAACAGGCAGGAACAGGGAGACAAAACACTGAGAGCAAAGCACCCAAGGCTACAGGTTCCTGTGCTCAGTGAGGGCAGTAACACATAACTACACTGTATCTATGCACACATGACAATAAAAGCCTTGAAACTTGAAACTGATAAACTGGGTCGAAGTTATGGGCCTAGGAACAGATTTCCCCAACAGTGAGACTAAACTTCAAACTAATATCCTCAAGTATGATGAACTCTGACCTCGATCCGAGCCATTACCTGTTTTAAAGAAGTGGGCGGGGTCACCGTGTCGTCAAACATCGTTTTTTGGAATATGATTTGGACATTTTGGCAAACTTGCAATTCGCTTTCATGAGCTGAAAACACTGTTATAGTTTGAAGTCCCTCAAACCGGACACCACTGTGGTAGCAACCAGTTAATCCCATGGTAGCCCCCCAGCTGTTTACCTCTAATTCTATTTTACTTTTACAAAATAAGCATCATGCTGTATAACAAAATACGTGAAAGTAGCGATTGAGACCTTGAAATGCATTAGAATAATGTTTACTGAAGTTATAAATTAAATCAGAAGTGTTATTAAAATGTTGTCTTTTGTGTAAACTCTGTGAACCCCGCAGTGAACTTTCACCTAATTTATTTCGGTATCATTTCGGTAATCTGTCTCGTGTTTGTCATCTCTGACGTCAGTGTGATTTGACTCCCTTTCTTGATAAGACATGAGAGGAAAGTATGCTGGCCTCCCCTGTGTTCCTACCACTGTCATACTTTGTGTATTACTGAAATACAGATACATGTAATCTTTGTCAGATATCTTGCTTCACCTGCTGAGGCTTTATCTCTGCATTCAGTTGAAAACGGATTATGTTAAACCTCCTTTAAGCCCGCGTCACACTGTCCCGAAATTGACACTCGATGGACACACGATAAAGGAAATGTTCAAATTCTGCTCTGATCGTAACAACATCGGGCCATTCGTGAGGGCATCTTAAGCCATCGTATGACCGCCGGTGGAGTTTCTCAGTCTCCGGCAGCAACTTTGTGAGCGTGGCAACATCTTTGCCACTTTAAAGTAGAGACAAAAAATTGCCGAAGGACCTTGCGAAGGTTAATTTCCATGTTACCCTTCGTGAGACATTCGTGAGGGCATCTTGTCAAATCGTGTCATCTTCGTGTGACCATCGGGCATTCGCCCTCACTCTGATCGGGGCGAATGCCCGATGGCACCAGATAACAAGATGCCCTCACGATGGCCTTACGAAGGGCAAAATTGACACACGAATTCAACACGAAAATGAACCTTCGCAAGGTCCTTTTGCAATTTTTTGGCATGCCAAAGATTTGCCACCGCTCACGAAGTTCCCGGGCCCCCAGACGTGAGGTTCCCGGGCGACACGTCGGCCACGGGCAGCAGCGTGACGGTGAGGATGGTGTTCCACTCTTCCAGGTCTCAAACTATAAAAATGAACCTTACTCTTTGTCTCCATTAACCCGCAAATTAGGAACAGATGAAATTACGGTGGAGACAGCCCCAACCACCCAAAACTGCGCGGAGAGAAACAAGGTTGTTTACATCTGTTCCTAATTTTGCTGGTGGTGTCGCGCATTTTGATAGTTTAGACCTAGGAAGAGTGAGACACATTCCTCACCGTCACGCTGATTGCCTGTGGCCTACGGTCGCCCGGGAACCCCAATCTGAGCCCGGGGTCGAGGTAAGTACCGGACCAATTTCAGGGGCCCGGAGAGTCCAGTGTCTCATAAAGTGATCTTGAGGACCTTAATTATCGTCTTTCTTTTGTATAGTTTGAGGTCCATATTATCTTCTCGTATGTGTCTACATATCAACCGTTCCTCCCCCTGAGGGTGCCAATATTTCTGCAGCGAATTTTTTGAACACCCTTATAAGATTCACTCATTTGTTATTTCATTACTACAAGAAGACACATAAAGAATAGATAACGGGAGACGATACGGATTTCGGAGCGCAGTGTGACAGTGTGTAACATGCTTTCATTGTTTTGTTAATACATTCAGATACTATGACATACTATAAAAGTCCTAGAAACAGAAATGAAAGAGGCAGAATATACATCTCTATATGCAAAAAGAGGCAGTACAACAAAGGTAATCGTTGTTGTGAAGGACATTCAGCGGAAGTTTTATTATATATTATAGGAAAGTCCAAAAGTGTCTTGGTTTAACCCAATAAATGTATTATCAAAATGTACTAAACAACACCGTTATTTTGTGGTCTAGCTGAGCTATTTCCTTACAAAGTATAAGCCGAGACTAGCATTGTTGGTAGCCTGTTAAGCACTCCCGTAGCAATACGGTGCATACTGGCGGCCACCTAAATT